ATAACTTTATCTTATTGATAAAAGATGTAATCAGATACTCTGAAGTCAAGTTTAAATTGTTAGACTGTGCAGTCCACTTAAGAAAAGTAAATTGCCTGACTGCAGGCTATGCTGTCCTCAGCAGGAAGCTACCTATCCCATCATTAGCACAGTTTAAGGATCTTGTACTCTATGGGCAGAGAATGAGATGCTCCATGTAAAGGTCACTTCAAAGTGAACATTTATCCCAATGTGTAGGAAGAGCCTTTTTTTTTTTTTCAAGACCAGTACCAGAAATACTATGTTTTTTTCCAAATGTGTTAATCAGCAGATACAACCATACCATGCTAGTTAAATAGTTTGGAACAAATGCATTTTAAACTGAGCTCCAGACAGATACGGTATATAGGTACCAATTAATATAATTGTGCATTCAATAAATCATTACTAAAATTATGTTTAAATGTATGTATTATATTTATCCTGAATTTGTGTTGATACCAGCCTTCTGTAAGTTTCTGTACAGCAGCACTCAGACTGGAAGAAAGAAGGTAAATTCTTGGAGCCAATCGGGTTCTGCTGTATGCACATGTTTTGACAGGAGGAGAGATGGAGATGAAACAGAGGGATCCTGTTCTGAGCTGTGCTGCTGCCGCACAGGAGGTCAAGCATCTGACTATGCTGTCTGGCACGGGTGGCTGGATCATAAGATTGGCTGCGCACAATCAGAAGTATTTTGGCAGGTAGAACAATTCCCATATACACTCACCAGCCATTTTATTAGGTACACTTGCTAGTGCCAAGAAAATATCTCCCACACCATTACAGCACCACCGTTGATACAAGGCAGGATGGATCCATGCTTTCATGTTGTTTATGCCAAATTCTGATCCTACCATCTGAATGTCACAGCAACCAATCTGCCCATTCCCCTCTGACCTCTGACATCAACAAGGCATTTTTGCCCACACAACTGCCGCTCACTGGATATTTTCTCTTTTTCAGACCATTCTCTGTAAACCCTAGAGATGGTTGTGCGTGAGAGTCCCAGTATATCAGCAGTTTTTGTAATACTCAGACCAGCCCGTCTGGCACCATTAACTATGTCACGTTCAAAGTCACTTAAATCCCCTTTCTTCCCCATTCTAATGCCCAGTTTAAACTTTAACAAGTCGCCTTCACCACATCTAGATGCCTAAATGTGTTGAGTTACTCCCATGTGATTGGCTGATTAGCAATTTGTGTTATCATACAACTGTGGGCAGCACAGTGGCTAAATGGTTAGCACTTCCACCTGGCAGTACTAGGGCCGTTGGTTCGAATCCTAGCAACGGCACCTCCTGCCTGGAGTTTGCATGTTCTCCCTGTGCCTGCATGGGTTTCCTCTGGGTACTCCGGTTTCCTCCCACACTCCAAAGACATGCTGGTAGGTTAATTGGATCCTGTCTAAAATTGGCCCTTGTATGTGACTGTGAGTTAGGGACCTTAGAGTGTACGCCCCTTGAGGGTTAGGGACTGATGTGCATGTATAATATATATATATGTAAAGCGCTGCGTAAATTGACGGCGCTATACAAGTACCTGAAATAAACTGAACAGGTGTACCTAATAAAGTGGCCGGTGAGTGTATATATTTCAACTGTATATTTAGCTGCTTGACTCTGGAGCTCAGCTTTTATTCTTGAAGAGGTTGTAAAGGCTTTTTTTTTTTCCTAGAACGAAAAAAGATGTTTATACTTACTGTACATGCTCTGTTCACTGATATTGTGACCCACTCCAACACAACAAACACTTTACTCCTGCGCTAGGAAAGGACTCCCAATAGGAATGTTCTGGAATATGCACTGCTTGCTGCCCTCAGCAGACCGGGGTGGTCCGAATACACTGGATACAAATGGAGAAACAGAAAAAGGGCGCACCGACCTAGTGCATTATCGTTTAAATAATTTATTAAAGAAACAAAAATAGGTATCATACTCACAATGGACATAATAACACAGGCATGTCAAACTGAACAAGATGTATGATCCAAACAACATCTGAGTCCATACGGTGGAACCCTGGATGATGATCTAACGCGTTTCGAAGCCAACCATTGAGTACACTGCTGGGGGGCCCACCCCACTCTTCTGGGCTGCTACCCTCTTGAGCATGCCTCCATAGCAAGCCATGGTATGGGCTTGCTCCTCCAGCAACACGGTGGCCCTGGACACTGGATTTTGATCCACAGGAGCCTAAGCCCCAATCTTCCTTTGAGACACAGTCAGCGATGCTTCCAGACATCTGAGGCACTGCACTGGATCGAGAGAGCACAGGTAAGTACTGGGGGGGGGGGGGGCGTACAGGTCGTGGGACATTTTCCACCTAAGCCCTGTTTCACACAGGTTCAGCTTGTATAAGAGCGGTGTGAACAGCCAGATTTGAGAATGGATTTTCAGGACTTTTATTAAGCCTTTCACTGCCGGAGCGGTTTTAAAAATCCTTTTAGGCCTGACGATTACACAGAACCCCCAAAACATTAAATATTTTCTGAAAGCAGACACCCCAGAGAGAATAAAATAGTGATGGTTCCAACTTTTTATGTCACATGATAATACCTCAAAGGTGAATTTTAGGACAAACAAATGCAATAAATAGATACCAATATGCCAAACTTAAATTTGTGTGCGACAAACTTCAGTTCAGTATATTTTCTATAGGCGGTGCTTCAAAAGCCCCTATAGGTCAGGCGTTTAATGTTACGGAGGAAGTCTTGTGCTAGAATGATTGCTCTCACTCTGGCGTGCACGGCGATATGTAACGTGTATCGCAATCGATGTTTTCAAGCGCAGGCTTCCTGACGTTCGTATATGTGGGGGTGGGGGGGGGGTCTCAAAAGTTTTTGAGAGGAGATGTTATATACTGTCCCCTATGTGATGATTTTTAGGTGGCAAGTTCTCTAAAAGACCCTGCATGTCTCCTCTGGGCTCAATCCAATGTATTGCAATACAAACTGTTTTGCAATACATGACAGCAGTGACTCGGAAGTGATGTTATGTGCCCAGATGGGCAAGCAGAACCCAGATAGTTGATAATTCAGACTGCAGAAAGGACTTCAAATGCGTCTGTCTATACCACATTAATACATCACAGTGTTTGCTCTCTGGTGCCTGGTTAATTGTGATCAGTGGTGACACATTGATAATGTGGTACCTTCCAAAGGTGACTGGCTAGTTATTATTTCTACCTGAACATTGACCCTTCACTAGAGCCACGTGGCCCATTGCTCACATGTTAGGGCACTAAACGCAAAACAGTTTTAGTTTTTACTAAAATATCTATTTTTTTTCTACTCTGCATTCATTCAGAATATGGACAGCCTATCATATACTGTATTTACAGTTGTGCTCAAGAGTTTGCATGCCCTTTTTTGACATTGATATTGAAAATATGACTATAGGTCAGGCGTTTAATGTTACGGAGGAAGTCTTGTGCTAGAATGATTGCTCTCACTCTGGCGTGCACGGCGATATGTAACGTGTATCGCAATCGATGTTTTCAAGCGCAGGCTTCCTGACGTGCATTTATGTTCGTATATGTGGGGGGGTGGGGGGGGTCTCAAAAGTTCTTGAGAGGAGATGTTATATACTTGGGTGTAACTTTATTTTTTTGCAATTAAAAAAAGTTTGTTTTTTTCCATCACATAAGGGACACAAAGTCCCCTATGTGATGATTTTTAGGTGGCAAGTTCTCTAAAAGACCCTGCATGTCTCCTCTGGGCTCAATCCAATGTATTGCAATACAAACTGTTTTGCAATACATGACAGCAGTGACTCGGAAGTGATGTGACACACGCCCAGATGGGCAAGCAGAACCCAGATAGTTGGCAGGAGTGCACGAGGTGGGGGAAAGAGGGGATGGGGCGGTACAGGAGGCTGTGGAAGTAAAAAAAATAGCTTGCTTTTATAACCATTTAAATCTCTGATGCAGTTTCCAGCACTTTTATATAGAAAAGTGCATGTTTAAAAAATGTAGACTTATTTGAACAACTCTTCCAGGTAACATATAAAATACTGTAAGTTAATTAAATGAAAACTCTGCAAAGATAACTTTGCAATGATTCAGATGAACAAAAAATTCAACTCAGTCTGCCTTTATCCTGAATTATATATATTACAGCTGGATTAATCAGATTTTTAAAATTTATTCAAAGGATTCTGTGCTGTCCAACCTTCCTCTAATGCTCCAGTGTGGCTGCTGTGGGATCAGAGAGATTGTTGTACCAGAATCATGAAAAACATTGCTTTGTATTTTCTTAAGAACGTTTACGTAAGTCTTAGCATATGGGGCACTAACAAGTAAAAACAGGAGTCCCATAATTGCTATTAAGGCCCATCTATAGGTAGATTGTGTTTTATCAGTCAATTTAGGCTAACGTTTTCCTGTTGTAGATGAAGTGTACATTTAATGATATGCATGCACAAAAAGAAATGCTAAGTGGTAGTTTGTCAGCCAGTCAGAATTTAGTTGCAGCTTATAGCAATCAATCAATTTTAAACCATGCAGTGTCTTTATGAAAAAATTACAGAGCTATTCGCCCTGTGTAACTTTTTGTACATTTGTTCTGTGTGAATGGGGACAAAAATGAATGCTATTAGGCTATTTTCGCACCATGAAAAATGTATTCCGTGTACATAATAGAGTGAATCTGGAAAATACTGCATTATGACCAGTAGATGGAGCTGACAGTCAAAGTAAATTATCATCAACTCCATCTAGTGGCCATAATGGAGTATTTTTCCTAATTCACTGTATGAAGAACATTTGACAGGGAGAGAACATAATATTAATATTTTTTTTTGCCCCCATTCGCACAGAACAAATGTACATAGAGTTTCACATGACAAATAGTGCTGCAAAGTTTTATAAATACACCCCCAACTGTTTAAAGGAATAACTGTTCACTCTTGTATTCTGAACTCTGTTACTAAAATCCCAGATAATTGTGTTATTTTAATAAAGTTTTGTTTGTTTATCATTAGGAAATGTCAGAAAATACTTGGTAAAAATATGAAACTCTGGGAAGACGAAGTGTACCGATTTAAGAGTATTGGGCAGTTGAAGGTAATTTAATCTAATGCTATTTTTTTAATTGTGGCATATTACTGTGGATGGTTGTCTATACGAACTATTTGACTACAAATTCAGACTGCAGAAAGGACTTCAAATGCGTCTGTCTATACCACATTAATACATCACAGTGTTTGCTCTCTGGTGCCTGGTTAATTGTGATCAGTGGTGACACATTGATAATGTGGTACCTTCCAAAGGTGACTGGCTAGTTATTATTTCTACCTGAACATTGACCCTTCACTAGAGCCACGTGGCCCATTGCTCACATGTTAGGGCACTAAACGCAAAACAGTTTTAGTTTTTACTAAGATATCTATTTTTTTTCTACTCTGCATTCATTCAGAATGTGGACAGCCTATCATATACTGTATTTACAGTTGTGCTCAAGAGTTTGCATGCCCTTTTTTGACATTGATATTGAAAATATGACTGATCATGCCAAAAACTTTATTTTATGTAAGGATAGTGATCATATGAAGCCATTTATTATCACAGTTGTTTGGTTCCTTTTTAAATTATAATGTTAACAGAAATCACCCAAATGGTTCTGAACAAAACTTTATGTACCTTGGAATGTTTGACCTTGGTACAGGCACACATGGTGACACACACAGGATAAAATGCCAATTAAAAGTAATTTCCCACATTTGTGCTTGTGTATTGTTAATGAGGTTGTTAGCTCTCACATGAATGCACTAAGCAGCCTAAATACTGAACCATGGAGAGAAGAGAAAAACTGGCAAAAGACCTGCATAATAAGGTAATGGAATTTTATAAAGATGGAAAAGGATATAAAAAGATATCCAAAGATTTGAATATACCAGTCAGTACTGTTAAATCACTTATTAGGAAGTGGAAAATTCAGGGATCTTTTCACACCAAGTCATGGTCAGGTAGACCAAGAAAGATTGTAGCCACAACTGACAGAAGAATTATTTGGGATGCAAAAAAAAACCCCACAGGTAATCTCAGAAGAAAAACAGACTGCGCTGGAAAAAGATAGTGTGGTGGTTTCAAGGAGCACAATATGAAGATACATGAACAAAAATGAGCTGCATGGTTGAGTTGCCAGAAAGAAGCCTTTACTGCGCCAATACCACAAAAACGCCTGATTACAATATGCCCAACACCTTGACACACCTCAGAGCTTCTGGCACATTGTAATCTAGAGTGACTATACCATTATAAAGCTTTATGGTCACAGCCATAAGCGCTATGTTTGGACAGGGGTCAACAAGGCCCATAGCGACAAGAATACCATCCCCACTGTGAAGCATGGTGGTGACTCACTGATGTTTTGGGGGGGGGGGGGTGAGTTCTAAAGGCACGGGCAATCTTGTAAAAATTGATGGCAAGATAAGTGCAGCATTTTTTCAGAAAATACTGGCAGACAATTTGCATTCTTCTGCATGAAAGCTTTGCATGCGATGCTCTTGGATGTTCCACAACAGTGACCCTAGGCACAAGGCCAAGCTGACACTCCCGCGGTTACAGCAGAAAAAGGTGAAGGTTCTGGAGTGGCCATCATAGTCTCCTGACCTTAATACCATCAAGCCACTCTTGGGAGATCGCAAGTATTCGCTTCATGCAAGATGACCGAAGACTTTGCATGACCTGGAGGCATTTTGCCAAGACTAATGGGCAGCTATACCACCTACAAGAATTCAGGGCCTCATAGACAATTATTACAAAAGACTGGACGCTGTAATTGATGTTAAAGGGGGTAATACACATATTAAGAACTAAGGGTATGCAGACTTTTGATCAGAGATCATTTAATTTTGCTTGTGATGTTTTGTTTTACGATTGTGCTATGTGTTATGACCAACAGCTGAATATGAACCCCATAAGAAATGTGTTTTGCCTGCTACATACAGTACAAGCACAGCTCAATTACTGAAAATGCCTGTATAAAGGTTTAGAAGATTTTATTGGGAATAAAAAAAAGAAGTGTGTTGCATGTTTTTTATATCTTTATGGTTGTTCTTCCTGTTTATCCAAATAAAGTTCAAGTAGATTTTGAATTTTCTTTTTTGAATGTCCTAGAATTCATAGTAGCAATAGTATAGGTAATGTCTGTCTATTTGATGTCCAGATTTAAGGCTGGCCTGCAGTCATCTAAGAAAAGATATCAGTCTCTATGAATAACACATTCAGCTCATAGCACTGAGCATCTGGAAATGAATAATTCACCTATGGAGATTAAATGTCTTTTTTCCTATTGAAGTGATAAGGCATCAGGGAGGCATACCCCTCCAGGCCTGGTATCCATTTCATTTGCCAGTTAACGCAGGCAGAATACATCTTCGTGGCTGCTTGTTAGCACTTTCTTGTTTTCTCCCTTCATGTTTTTGTTTTGACTGCTGTGCATTTGTATAGCTGCCCTGGCTATCTGTCTATAATTTGGGTTAGCTCCATCAGTTTGAAAGCACATAGTAGCTGTACCTATTTATTGTTTATTGTCTGACTTATTATTTATGAATTACATTTATTTTAACATTTATAACATATTTTACAGTATTCTAGAAATGTGCTTAATGTGTTTAGTATGTAATAAAAAATGTCTTACTTAAAGTGGAACTTGACCCTCTTAGTCAAAATTGATTATTTTTAATCCTTATGCTGCTAGCATTGGTAAATAGATAGGAAAACATATATATGCTGCTTTTAAAAAAAATGTTTACATTTCTTCAGTTACTTCCTGGTTTCCAAGCCTAGGAATAATATACCATACATCCCAGGAGTCTTCGGGAGGGGAGGAGGGGTTTTCTGAGCTAAGCACACTCTCCTCCCTGTGTGCCTCAGCTAAGGGCAGATAATTCCAAGAAGTAAATGCATGAGTCATCTGCTCTTACTTAAGATAGCCAAGGACAGAAGTGCTAAGGGGTGTTTTTCAAAGTAAATAATGCAGACATGTGGGGATGGATGAGTTTGTTTTGAGTATCAAAAAAGTATTAAACAGCATTTTTGGTTTTTAGTGCTCAGATGCAGTGAAGTTCTGCTTTAAATTCATACTTTAAGCATTCATGTCAGAAATCAAATTCAGGTCCAAAAAACTTATGAGAGGCTTTTACATTTTATGAAAGTGTATTTGTTATGGTCAGTTTTATTTATTAGACATGTCTTTTCTAATTATTTTTTTTGTTGTTGTTGTACCACTGTTTGAGTTTGGTTGTAGTAAGATTCTAAGAGTTGTACGAGTTCCTAAAGCTATTATCGTACACAGAGCAGTCAGCATATTACCCAAGATAGTTATTGGTCATAAAGAACAAAGGAACAAAATAAAAGATTTAAAACCAGTGTTCAAAAAAAAAGTCTGGAAAGTTGTGCTAAATAGTGAGATTCTAAAAGCTGACTATAGGAATTTTGAGCATTCAGATCATTATCCAAGATAAGTCAAAAAGAAGAAAGGAACAAAGACTTTTAAAACCCACAACAGTAATATCAGTCTGTATATGCAGTAAAGCATCCTTGTTATACTCACTGTGGAACCTAAGGGGTCAATCTTCTGCATTGTGTAAAAAGGCTGTTTGATCCTTTTTTCTCTGTTCCTCCCCTTTTTCAAGTGACCACCTCTTATCTCCAGACTGAACTGCAGGCATGCACATGCTCAGTTTGATGTGTATTGCTAGAGGGTTTTTTTCTTTTCCTTAGGAGAGTGCATGTGATTAGCACAGGGCCAATCGGCACTGTCCACACAGAGGTCAGGGGATTTTCATCCTTCTAGAGCAGAAAGCAAACTACAAGCTTTAGGTAGTGGTGGGCTGGATACATAGAAGTCACAAGACTACTCTAACTGCTGATGAAAAAAAGTATTTAGCAGTTTATATTTACTAAAATAATTGCATTTTCATGTTGTGTGTACTGTGGGATCCCAGATATAGTGAATGCAGGGTCCTGGGTTTAGTAACACTTTAACCAGGACCTAAAAGGGTGGTGGGGATAGGGGAACCATAGGCTGATTGTACCAATGCCACTTCCCCTTCTGCTATAACTAACTTTTGGATAGCCAGTCTGCCCCCTAGTGAGAATGGACCACTGACTGTGAAAGTAAGCATTCCTTTGAGATAGAAGAATTTTGAGAATGCAATTTTTCTGGGGCTTTGTACCAGAACATGACAATTTTATATATGGATCCTTTATGCGTTGTACATATTGAGGACTTAGATATACATTGTTAGATTGCAGATAGAAATAAAATGTGGGAATATCTTGTTTAGTACACAGTTCTTCAAAAGTTTTAGGGTGGCGAGATGCAGGGTGAGTAATGTGTCAACTTTGGAGCAGTCCAGCTTGTGCCCAAGGCAAAGTTGTGCATACATAAAGACTGTTTGATATGGCAGGGTTATGCAGGATATTGGTAATGGATGAGAGGTTGAAGATAAGGAGAACTTTACTTCCTTCCAGCAGTTCCAGATAGACACTGTAAAGTACACAGAGGAGCCCTGTTTGCTGTTTTATCTTCAAGAGGCATCTGGATCCTCTTGGAGATAATAGCTATGTATGGTGTTTGTGCTTCCAGATTAAATTATTTAGGGCTCTTTGGAAGGTTTTTAGGTATGAAAGTGGAATAGAATTAGACAGGGTCTCAAGGAGAAAGAGAACTATTCAACGGATAGCTATTGTGATTGTGCACATATTGTAAGAAGTCTTGAGCAGTTTTTGAATCTCTTGAAAAAGCAGGGGGAAGTTAACGTTATACAGAATTTGATAGGTGGGGGTATTGCTAGTAGCTAGATACTTCAGAACATGTTCACACCTAGTGTAGGGGTAATTTGTTTTAAGCATGATGAGATAGGATATGTATTGAGAGAGCCTCTGTCTTAGTGAGGCTGATTTTATAGCCTGATAGAATTTCAGGTTCTTCAACTAAAGCATGTAGGTTGGGGAGGGTCTATAAGCTCCAATGGGCTGTAATCTGTAAACAAAAATAATTTATATTCCTTATGTTGGTGTGAAATCCATGTGTTTTCATGACCTTTGCCGGAGGG